GGTTTTCCCAGTAGTGATGTATGGAAGTGAGAGCTGGACCATAAAGAAGGCTGATTGCTGAAGAATTGATGCTTTTGTTTTTTTTTTTTAAATCATATTTATTAAAGTTTCCAAAAATATAAAAATACAAAGAAAAAAGACAAAAGAAAAAAGATATTTAAAAGCCTTACTTTCATTCCCTACTTTCTGGGACTGGGGCCCCCCCCCCCAATTGTATTCCCCTTTCCTTAATTTGGTTCTACAAGCTCTCACTCCCAATTTAAAAGCTTAATTTGTTTAACCCACTATCCAGATTGAATTGTACAAATCTTACCACCGTCCCACATCATTAACAGAAAAAGAAAAAGATTTTCCCCAAGATCCACCCCAATTCCTTCCACAAATTCCCTTTTTTTTAAACACGTCCGAACAAAGAAAAATAACCTGCGTAAGTTATGTATAGAAATATAAATAAGACATATAGAAAATGTCAAAAAATGGTTACACAGCCTTTGGATTTCAAATCTCCCCCCCCCCCATCCCCCGTTTGAATTGCCCAAGTCCATCAGTCGATAAAATATAAGCTTGGAAATATCAATTCATGACCAAAATTATCCCCCCTTCCAACGTGCCGGTTTTATTTTAGTTTATTAATTTAAATAATATTTGACTTCAAATGTCCAATCTAACAAAGGCCTTTAATTTCCTTGATCTTTACCACTCCTCCCGTTGTTCTTTCCGTGTCGTAATCAGTCCTTTATTCTTCTTATTCCTCACTTTCTCAGGTTTCTTGTCCTGTTCAGCTGCTAAAACTTTCTAATTCAGAAATCTAGTGTCTCTGCAGAGGTTTGTTATTCAGGAACAAAAACTTACGTCCAGTCCCTTTCTTTCTTCAATAAAAAATTCCATTGTCTTCCTCTGTAGACAAAATACTCTTTCAGTTTTGCAGCTTTCCCAGAAGATAACAAATCCTGTGCGAATCCCAGGGTATTTTTCCACTTACGACCGTTCTTGTAGTATCCCGAAACCCCTCTAGGGGTTTGTAATAACTTTGTATCCTCTAATCCAAAAGTCAAATTGTTGCTTATTTTCCAACAGTTTATATCCATATTATAGCAAATTGTAACAAAATTAACCAGCAAGATCCTCATAAAGTCCTCTTTATATTCTCCAGCTTTGACAGCCACTTTGACAGCTGTCAAAGTCTCCGTCTCTCTTCACCAGGCTCCACGAATCGCCCCGGTTCCCAGGGGGGGGGGTTGCATTTTCTTCTCACCCTCCACTCTTCTCCTCCAGCACATTTCTTATAATTTCCCATCGTGAAATTAATGATTTTTATCAGAGACATACTTCCCTTTGGACCTTGGTTACCCAGTCCTTGTTTTGGAATGCTTACAATAGGGGGGGGGATTGACTTCCTTTTAAATCGCCCCGCTCGTGCCAAATCCAAAATTTTGAACCCGGTTTCCCAATTACTCACGGGTTGTTGTTAATAGTCCAAATTTTCAATAGAAGAAGTCAGCGCTCTCCGTCGAATGGCATGCGGCTGCGCTCGGCAGGGAAAGCAGTGGACTCAAAGCACCACGCCACTCCCGGCACCCGATCCGAAGCCTTTAAACAGGCTCATTCACGAGTCGGGAGGGCGCTAATGGTGCAAGCCGAGTCACCCATGTCCACGGACTCCGTGCCCGTGGTTTTTAAGGGTCCCCGCGTCGCCGGCGCGGTAGGACCCAGCCCCTGCCGAGCAGACTCCCTCCGGAGCTCGGAGGGAGTCCGCCATTCGGCGATGGCGCTAACCCGGAAGTGCTTTTGAATTATGGTGCTGGAGGAGACTCTTGAGAGTCCCATGGACTGCCAGAAGATCAAACTTCTCCATTCTGAAGGAAATCAGCCCTGAGTGCTCACTGGAAGGACAGATCGTGAAGCTGAGGCTCCAATACTTTGGCCACCTCATGAGAAGAGAAGACTCCCTGGAACAGACCCTGATGTTGGGAAAGATGGAGGGCACAAGGAGAAGGGGACGGCAGAGGACGAGATGGTTGGACAGTGTTCTCAAAGCTACCAGCATGAGTTTGACCAAACTGCGGGAGGCAGGAAGACAGGAGTGCCTGGCGGGCTCTGGTCCATGGGGTCACGAAGCCAGTGCAGCTGGTATAGCACCGGGTGAATGTGATCTCGCAGCGAAGACCCCGTAAGGAGTCTCGCCGCTGCATTCTGCACCCGCTGGAGTTTCTGGGTCAGTCTCAAGGGCAGCCCCACGTAGAGCGAGTTACAATAATCCAGTCTGGAGGTGACCGTCGCGTGGATCACAGTGGCTAGGTCAGGGCGAGAGAGGTAAGGAGCCAACTGCTTAGCTTGGCGGAGATGGAAAAATGCCGCCTTTGTTATAGCTGCAATCTGCGCCTCCATGGAAAGGGAGGTTGGACTATTAACTTCAGAGCTCCTCCTGGCAACTTTACTGATGGCAAAGATTCGTGGAGACAGGCTGGCCAGCTTGCACGGGAGCCTGTATGGTTGTGTTCATGTGTGTGAAGTCACACCCACACCATACTTTTAGAGTACTGTTAAAGCACTTTCACAGCCATGGCTTCTTTCTTCAAAATATTATGGGAACAGTAGTTTGCTAAGAGCACTGTGAATTGTAGCTCTGCAAGGGGTCTCCTAACAATTCTCAACATCCTCACCAAACTGCAGTTTCCAGTGGACACTTGGGACCACAAACGCTGGAGCATAGCTAGCATGGAGAAAATTGGGCATAATTTGAGATTTCGACAAGGACTAGAACCTCCACCTATTTTTTATAACATTTGGCATTTGTTGCATATACAGCTGGATCACACATGCTATCGTCACAAGCCTAGCAAATCTTGAACTCCACTTGGGAATTGGCTAATATTATTTCTGTACACAAAGACAACTTTCGCCCTCGCTTGCCCCCACCCTCCTTCAATGACCTGGAGTTTGCTACTTAACCCATATGCAACTGCCCTTATGTTACCTGCCTGTTTTATGGTTTTGTTTTTTCATTTTTCACCTGTCGTTATTGCCCTTCTCCTTGTTTTATACACATTATAAAATGGGCCTGCGGGATAGCTCAGTCGGTAGAGCACGAGACTCTTAATCTCAGGGTTGTGGGTTCGAGATCGACTTTGGCCAGAAAAAGAATCCTACCTTGTAAAGGGTTGGACTTAGCTGACCCTTGCGGTCCCTTCCAACTGTACGATTCTATGAAAATGATTTTTTGAGATATATTTGGAAAGCAGAAGGTCTTTCTTTTCGCCTGCTGCTCCTTGGTTCTTTGGACGCGGGTGGCGCTGTGGGTTAAACCACAGAGCCTAGGACTTGCTGACCAGAAGGTCGGCGGTTTGAATCCCGCAATGGGTTGAGCTCCCGTTGCACGGTCCCTGCTCCTGCCAACCTAGCAGTTTGAAAGCACGTCAAAGTGCAAGTAGATAAATAGGTACCACGCCGGCGGGAAGGTAAATGGCGTTTCCGTGTGCTGCTCTGGTTCGCCAGAAGCGGCTTAGTCATGCTGGCCACATGACCCGGAAGCTGTATACTGGCTCCCTCGGCCAATAAAGCGAGATGAGCGCCGCAACCCCAGAGTCGTTCACAACTGGACCTAATGGTCAGGGGTCCCTTTACCTTTACCTTGATTCTTTAATTGATGTCACCAAGGACAGAACCCAACTCTTTCTGCTATTCTCCTCTAAACTAAAAAATACACAAATGCCTGTTTATTAGACGAGCAGCTTTGAAGGGAGGCCGACCAAAGTCTCATTCCCAGAGCCAGTGCACTGAATATCTTGGCTTTTATCTTTTCTAATCAGCCCTGCTCCCAGAGGTGCAGCAGCTGGGATCTTTGCCGCTGCATTTGATCTCTCCGCTGGCATCCTCCTCTCCCGTCTCGTTCCACCTGCCCCTGTTACGACAGCAGGGCAGCAGCGCCAGAAGAGAGAGGAAACGCTTTGCCTTGCAGGTCCCGTCATGAATATTTCAAGGACTCGCTCTGAATAGCTGCTCCCAGCTTTAAAAATGCAAAAGGGTTGTGACACAGGCAGCCTTGCTAAATTGCACGCTGTTAGCTTCCATAATGGAGGGGCCTCTTTTGCTTCCAATGCAGGGAGCGCACATAAAACCTGCATCTGAAAGACGCCCACATGGTACTTTTTATGGATGTGAAAGACTGGCTGGGTGCAGAGGAGCGGTAGGAGGCACCAGCTGGGGAACCCCCAAGGGAAGAAGCCTCCGAGCCTGGGAACTGGTGAGGAGACAACAAGGAGTGGTCAGAGGGAAAAGAGGGAGCAGGCTGAGAGGAGGAGGCGTTGGAAGCTGAAGAGGGAACAGGGCTTAGTGAGCAGGAAGAGGCTGGGGCAAAGAGAGGTCCACAACCAGAGGCAGAAGCAGAGGCTGGAGAGGAGGGGGCCAAGAGACAGAGATGGGGCAGGCTACTGAAGAAGCCAGGGGGTCCCCTCCTCCCTGGTCACCCAGAACCAGGAGAGGAATGACGATGGCAGAGCAGAGACAGACAAGACGATGGAGTCTCAGATTGCTTGGGAAGGACCCAGGGAGAGGAGCTACTGTCTCGGCAGAGTGGTGCATGTGCTAGTTACTGTATTTTTCGCTCTATTAGACGCACCGGACCATAAAACGCACCTAGTTTTTAGGGAGGAAAACAAGAAATAAGAAGCCTCCTGAGAGAAGAGGGAGCTATCCCTGAAGCCAGGAGAGCAAGTGGGATCAGTGCGCACCGTCCTGGCTTTCCCTCCACCTCCCACAAGAGCCACTCACTCTTTAAAGGGAGCGCGGCTCTCGGGGGCTTTTCTGGGAGGTGGGGAAGGGACTGAGCCACACGCTCTGTCCCTTCCCCACCTCCCGCAAAAGCCAGGGATAGCCGCGCGAAGCCTCTGCAGGGCAGTGGGATGAAGGCTTCCTGCTGCCCTGCGAAGGCTTCGCGCCGCTAAGGCAGAAGCTAGAACAGCTAGAGGGAGCGCTGTGCAGTGCTCCCTCTAGCTGTTCTGGCTCCTGAGGTAGCCCGCGAAGCCTCCACAGGGCAGTGGGAGCCTTCATCCCACTGCCCTGCGGAGGCTTCGCGGGCTACCCAGAGCTGCTCAGGAGCACGTGGCATCTGCGCGCAGCCTGCCTGCTGCTCCCGGGACTGGAGGGGGAAGCCCGGGTTTCCCCCGCCAGCCCAAAGAGCAGCTCAGGAGCATGCCGCACTCCGACAATTTAGTTCCAGGGACCACACATTCGCTCCATAAGACGCACAGACATTTCCCCTTAGTTTTTATGATGAAAAGTGTGTCTTACGGAGCGAAAAATACAGTATATCCTGCTTGGACTACTGCAATGCACTCTAGGTGGGGCTACCTTTGAAGGTGACCTGGAAACTGCAACTAATCCAGAATGTGGCAGCTAGACTGGTGACTGGGAGCGGCCGCCAAGACCATATAACACCAGTCCTGAAAGACCTACATTGGCTCCCAGTACGTTTCCAAGCACAATTCAAAGTATTGGTGCTCACCTTTAAAGCCCTAAACAGCCTTGGCCCAGTATACCTGAAGGAGCATCTCCACCCCATCGCTCAGCCCGGACACTGAGGTCCTCCTTCATGGATGTTCTGCTGGTTCCCTCACTGAGAGAAGTGAGGTTGCAGGGAACCAGGCAGAGGGCCTTCTCAGTAGTATC